CCCGAACCCTGAACCCGAAACCCCTAAACCCTGAACCCTAAACCCTAAAGGCCCGAAGATGGAGCTTCCAGAGCTTTCAGGCAAGAGGCATATGGCCATGCGCTGACTTGTCCCTGGATGTCCGAGTGGGCGATCCGGACTGGGGAAATGCAGCGTCTTAGCTATAACCCAGGTTTAGGGTTTATAGGGTATAGGAGCCCCATTCATTTGAACTGGGTCTTGGGGTGAGTCTATTGGAGTATAGTTGTGGCCTAAGGCCCTGAGGAATAATATTGGTCATTGTCCGGGCTCTTATGTTAAGCCCTGAATCGTAAAAACAAGTTGTGGCTAATATAGGGGCCTAAATAATTACCCATACAATTTTTGGGGGGTTCCTGAGTACAATTAGAGTTTAATGGGCCCCCAAACCCTATTCTAATTATTAAGGCCCTTATATTAGCGCTCGCATGGGCTTGGGATTTAGGATTCCCCCTTTGGGTAGCAATTTTAAGGGCGTGTCGGTTAGCGATTAACCCTAAAGTTAAACTCGAAACCCTGAAGCCCTAAACCCCAAACCCCAAAGCGTGAAACCTAGAGTCCTAATTCCTAAACTCCGTATGCATCAGTATCGGAAGCCCGGCGCCCGCTTCCAGGCAATTAGCCGCAAGATTCGGATGGCAATCCCACACATTTGATACTGTAAGGGTTTCTTTTGGGGCTCCTTTCCGGGTTTTGGGTTTAGGGTTCTTTTTCGGGTTTGGGGTTTAGGGTTAAGGGTTCTTTTTCGGGTTTGGGGTTTAGGACAGAGGTGCGACGTCGTTATGCAACTTCCCATCATCTCAAGTTCAGAACCGACAGGAACCCTAAACCCTAAACCCTAAACCTTAACCCTAGACCCTAAACCCTAAACCTTGTTACCGTTCTAAGCACAGTGCGTGGAGAGACACTCTAGGCCGACCGGTGCTAGGTAGCGGTTGAAGGGTTTAGGCTCAGGGTTTAGGGTTTAGGGTTTAGGGTTTAGGGTTTAGGGTGGGCATGTCTCTGCTGAAGAATTTGGTCACAACTCGGAAGAGACTTCTAAGCAATTGACTCTAAATTTGTAAACCCTGACCCGTTGTCACACCCCCAAACCCGAACCCCTAAATCGCTCTGAACCCTAAACCCTAAACCCTAAACCCTTAGGTTTGGGGCCGCTTTAGCATGCAAGCTTTCGGGTCTCCCCCACTTGCGTCGAGTCAAGGTTTGACGAAGCCTCCATGGTGAAGCGCTACAATGGGCTCCTGGGAGCAGAGTGGCATGAGAAGTGGCTGGGACGGGGTTTAGGGTTTAGGGTTTAGGGTTTAGGGCTTCTTTGGGCTTTCAGTTCCTCATGTGAGAGTTTAGGTTTGAGGGTTTAGGGTTGAGAGCACGTCGTGTGTCTCCCTCTGGAACCCTTTTACCGACCGCCTTGATACTCGTAATCTACACGTATTTTTCGTACAGCATGTTTTGGTATGTAGCTATGTGGTGTATTGTAGTATGCTCTAGTATTATAGGCTAGGGAAGTTGAATAATGAAGTATGTGTCAGCATGTTCTATATCGTAACTATACCTTTGACGATACCGTATGATGTTGTAAGTGTTATTATACATATAAAGAAAGAGAGAGAGAGAGAGAGAGAGAGAGAGTGAGAGAGAGAGAGAGAGTATGTTGCCGTATTAGATATAACAGGTGCAAGCAATCACAGATGTGTTTCCTTGTGATGTAGCCCTATTGTCGTTGTAGTATCGACCGAGCCCATTGATACCTCGGTGTCAGGTGTCAATTCTGACCTGGGTGATCAATGCGCTGACTCTTTTCGTGTTTGCTGGACGTGCCGGTGATCTGGCAGGCAACCCCGCAATTCTTACTTAGAGGTTGATGGGACGCGTAGTGTTACCTTAGTTGTTTGTTTGGGACTTGTTCACCCTGGTTAACAGGTCCCATGAACCGGTGAGTAAGGCTCTATATGAAGCTTAAGAGCTTAGAGCTTCAGGGGGCCGGCGCTTCGTGTGCTGGGCCAGTTGCAGGACGCTGCAGGGCTTCTTGCGAGATGGTACACCTCACCTCGGGCAGTGGGTCACAGGCTACCATGCAGTAGCTGGTATTTGTCCCCTAAACCCTAAAGCGCCTAAACCCTAAATGGTCCAAAGACCACATGTGGTAGCCGGAGTCCACTGTTGTGATACTTCCCGGCTCGAGCTTCCGATTGCGTTGTCACGCCCCAGACACCCCAGATGTCATGCTTGGGGATGTTCAGGTTTTCTGTGTGCCTAGACCTGGACGTGCAATGGTTTGGGTTGAGGTTGGGTAAAGGTCAGATTCCTAGCATCAACCTCAGCCCCGAAAACGCAAAAGACTGATCTCAAAATGCTGGACAGGGGAATCGGGGTCTGCTTGAGGGTTCTATTTTGGCGGCTCTGGGACGGATCCAGGGGGTAAGGCTTTGTCGGGCTCACGGTTCTGGGTTTAGACAGTTTACAGTAGGCATTGTAATTGCATGGTCCAGGTTCCGTGAGCCGTGGTATGTGGGTGTGTGCTGCGCATTCTCAGCAAGTCTTCCCTGAAAGTTCCCCTGCGAGGTAATCCGTTGGTGTATTTGCTGACGGTGGACTTCCCAATGGCCGTCTTCTTTTTTCTCTTCTTGTTCGGACAGCATCTCCACTCTGGGCCTCAACGGCTCTGGCTGGACAAGCTGTGCATTCCACAGGCGGACAATGCTGTCAAGCAGATCTTCGTGCAGTCTCTGCCCACATTTGTGCGACGATCTTCCCAGATGCTGGTGCTATGGGACGGCACATATTTTGAACGTTTCTAGGCCTGCAGCTGGATAACTTGTTTGGGCTCCTGTGCCACTGCGTCTTCTACGACTTCTGACTAATCCTCCTTATCCCGTGTTCTGATTTTCTGTTTCTGTGGTTCCGAGAGATCCCACTACAGATTACCGCTTATGTTTTTTATCATAGTACTACGGCCCCGGCAACTCAAGGTATTCCTCAAATAGGGGGTAGTGGGCTCTCTGTTCAGGATAGCCAGAACCTCAAGCCCAAAGGCCCAAAACCCCTCAACCCTAAACCCCAAACCCTACCCTAAACCCTTAACCCTAAACCCTACCCTAAACCCTAAACCCTAAACGCCACAGCCAGAACCTGAGCTTCGGCTTGACCATCTTAGGTCTTTGGTGCAACCTCGAGTTCGCGATGTTTCTGAATGCGCGAAACAGTGGCTTTGTGCAGTTTCATCGGGGTGTTTGCGGGGCCCTACGTCCTAAACATCCCTGAACTCAAGATCCCAAGCCCTATACCCCTAAACTCCTAAGCCCTATAAACCCTATAATCCCTAAACCCAAAAGCCCTAAGCCCCTAAGCGCTAAACTTTAAGCCCTAAGCCCTGAGCCCTGAGCCCCAAGCCCTAAGCCCGAACCCGATACTGTAACTAGCCCTAAGGGTCCATGCGCCCAAATAGTATATACTTTGGCCTATTTTAGGGCCCAATCTATACACTATTTTGGGCGGGCTAGGAAATGAAACCGTAGGGTAGCTTAGGGTTTAGGATGTGCGGTTGAGTGCTTGGGATTTTTCGGGGTTTAGGGTTTAGGATTTAGCGTTTAGGGTTTAGGGTTTAAGATTTAGGGAACAGGGTTTAGGGCTTTTAAGTTGCCTCGACCCTGAACTTCAGGATCCCAAGCACCCCAGACCCAAAGCCCTAAACTTGAGTTCAAGAAGCCCTAAAACCAAAAATCCTAAGTTCTAAAGCCTGAACACCAAAAACCCCAAACCGCAAGCTGAAATACTATTTGCAGCCGAAAATTTTTAAAAATAAAATCAACTGGGAACCTGCGTCTTGAACTCAAAGCCCTAAGCCGAAGAAAGGTGAGAGTTTCCGAATATAAAGGGTACCTTATTTTGGAGTCCTTATAATAAGAATCCTATTATTTAGGGTACTATATTGGGGTCCCCTATTTTCGGAAACCCCCAGGTGAGGGCAATGCACTGGTGGTGGTGCCTCTCTGGCTTCCCCCGTGGCTGCTGCTGACGATGAACCTCGACGTGCGATTTTGTCTGGGGCGGGGGGGGCTTTAGACAACCCTAAACCCTAATACAGGGCTTCCGGTTCGAGCGTTGGGGTTCGGGGCATCGTGCCCAACGCATATGGGGCTTTGATTTTAGAGACTATCCCTGTAAAAGATCTCCAAACGCAATGTTTAAATATCAAAGCCGTCACTCCCCAAATCGCCAAGGCAAGTGCCAGATTAAATATCCAAACCCTCATGCCTTGAACCCTAAACCCCCACACCCTTAAGCTAAACCGCCAACCCTGAAATGTTTCAGAATTTCATTCCGAAAGCCTTAGAGCCCCGAAACTCCGAAAACCCTCAGGCTGCTTGACTGGATCAGCGTGCGCTTGCTATTACTCCCGATTCAGACAGTGTCGCAATCCTTTGCGTGGCATCAGCTGTTGCCAGGCTGAGTTGGAAGTGACTTTTTGTTCGGTGTCGGGTGTAGGTTTTTTTGGCAAATTGCAAATTACATATCATCTATTGTAGGTATCATTGATCATAAATTATGGGGTTTAGGATTTAGGGCGTACTGGCTGAAGGGTTGAAGCTCAGCTGCCTGAACCAGAACTACGGAGACTCCTTGATATGAGGAGGGTCTGTAAGGCCTACTAGAAGTTTCTACTACTTTACATGTGATGAACCACCAACGAAAGTTTGGGAAGTGTTTCCCAGAAGGGTCAGTTTAACGGCTATTATGACTACAAAATCTAAACATCTCCCGTCCACAAGAGAGAGAGAGTACAGCAGTTGATGCAAGGCTCCAGAAACTCTAAGAATCATTGATATGATGGCTAGTTTTAGGGCCTCATGCAGAAGTTCGAAGAATGCTTTACGCGCTACTGTAAGGCCAACCGCAATTTCTGGTCCGCACATAGGAGGGTGCAGCACTTGATGAACGGCCCAAGAAGTTACAAGAATCCTTGCTGAAATGATCACTGTAAGGTACGCTAAATGGGTAAGTGCAAGGGTTACTATAAGGCTTCCTATGAGGTTGTCTATTTGCTGCTTTAAGTTACTACAATTGCTGTCAGAAGACAAGCTGTAACAAATGTTTGCTATCACAATCGCTGCAAGCGAGGTTGGAGGCTCCGAGATCACACTGGCTCTGCCTTCTGCAGGGTATTTGGTACAATTGGTGCAACCTGGTAGCTTACATGCCCGCAGCGATGGCCACGGCAGTGTCCTTTCGGTTTAAACTGTCGCAGCACATGTTTATGCTGCGTCAACTTGAGAGCTTCGACGTTCGGGCGACGAAATGTACTGTGAGTGCCGATCGGCCTATGCTAGAGGCAGAGATCGCATTGTTGTACGATGAGATTGACACCCTCCCTGTCAGTGTGGATGTAGACTCGCCGGACGAAGCATCGCCCGTGCCCACAACGCCTGCGGACCACGCTGACCGAGAGAGGCTTCTGCAAGAGTCAGCCGTGGTGAGGAGTCAAGCAGTCCGTCCTCTCACCAGCTACCCAAGTCATTCAGATTGCCTTGAGCTATTCAATGCAGAGGTACGTGGGCCGCTACTTAAGACCATCCTATACCATTCCGGAAGCTCATCCGACTTGCCTTTGGGCATCTGCATGCAGGCATTTGCCCCCTTGTGGTTCTTTCTGCTCTCAAGCTCTTATTTGGCATGTGACGGGTTTTCTTCATGTCACGCGGCCATCGAGTTCGAGGGCTTCGCATCAGTGCGGGAACTCTACTTGGTCGACTGTGCCTATGTCCCTGGGCTCAGGCTAGGGTTTATGGGCACTGGGGTTAGCCTTAGCGTTTTTACGACAGTAGGATGCCTGCATAGTTCTAAAGGTCAACTTTGGAACCCCAAGTGCACTGGGTGGCATTTTGCAGTATGTCTTAATTTCCCTTTGAGGCCATACGGAGGTATCTGCTACGAGATCACCCTAAACTCCCTAAATGTGTTTAGAATATGATGATATCCCTTTCAGGCCGCGGCCCTGAAACCCTAGCCCCTCAAGGAATCCTTGAAATAACCCGAAATAACCCCTAAATTCCTAAACGAAGCCCAGGTTCTTATCCTTGCACTTTGCATTCCGACGGTCTTCCCCACCCTGTTGCTTGGATGGACCTGAGGGTTTCGGGTTTACGGTTTAGGGTTTAGGTGGATCTGCGAATCGGTTCAGAGTTGTAGGTTTGGGGGGGTTTTGGGGTACCCAGATCTCCTAATATCCCCTATAATTATAACTGAGACATATACCTTAAAATGTAGTATATATATATATATATATCCCTTACTTAAGGGCTTTTGGAAGATCTGGGTGTTGCTCACTGGGAGAAAGGAAGAGTGGACACCGTGTACTTTGCATCCCGTGCCGGAGATCCCAAACCCTAAAAAACCCTAAACTCCGTTACTAAACTCCTAAACCCAAACCTAAGGTTTAGGGTTTAGGGTTCCAGGGTTCCTCAACCCCCCACCGGAACGAAAAGCCAGGTGTGACAACGTGCTCAAGAGTGCAGCTAAGGTTGAGGATGCTACAACGGGCAATTGCAGCATCCTGTTCCTTCTCCGGCCAAGTGGCGGTGACTGTACTTGGAGCCTTTCTAGCCTACTTGTACACCTTCACTTTGGCAGGAGCGACAACCGGTTGCATGATGGCTCTTGTGGTCAGAGGTCCCAAGCTCAGCTGGCTACTCCTCTTTGGCCTGCTTCTCGCTTGTTGTTAATGAACGCAATTCTAAGCTACGTACCACGATCAAGAAACCATTCGTAGTCATTCAACCAAAGCACTCGAAAGCAGAAGCTCGTTTTTGTACGAACCTATGTTTATGTGTGAATATACATATACCCGAAGGGTCCATGTACCCAAATAGTAGATAATTTGGCCTTAATGCAGTCCCTCTTTAGGTACTTTGGGGCCAATGTATATACTATTTGGGTACATGGACCCTTAGGGATATAGAGTACTGAATGTCCAGGTTGAGGCAACGTATTTCAATTTCACGTTCACTAGCAGAGCAACCTAGGCTTTGTACTTGGTCGGTTTGCCAGTGGTACATATTCTTTTTCAGAGATTGGCTTCCGAAGTGGCTACCTACATCCTGCAGATGCTTGAATAAGCACGCAGACAAGTACTGAGTCCTTTCTCCGGTAGTACTTTAGTAATCAGCTGCTGCTGCAGCAGCAGCAGCAGCAGCAGAATGCGAGCTTCTTCTGCCAAATCAGCATCAACCCTAAACACCGAGACCCAAAGCCCCCACACCCTAAATCTCTGATCCCTCAACCCTGAGCCCGATATGATAGTCTAAACTCGCACAAGATTTCCGTACTGTTCTCAGCTCACAGACCGGTGAAATTCACCGGTCTCAGAGCGACGAGAGACCAATGCAGTGAATTCCGAGCCCTCCGCTGAATCGACAAACTGTTGGAGTTCAGGGTTTATGAGTTTGAACAGCTTTCGATTGTCGTCCTCACGTGGAAGTGATGTTGATCAGCGTGAAGGGTTTTTCAAGCACGCCATGAAATTGGTGACTGCTATCCCTGCTATTGAGCTCTGGAATGAATTACTGCTGCACCATGAAATGGTGACGTGATCCCTGTAGGGTGCACGCTCTCACAAACGATTTTTGCCCGGATCGAATCTCGATACAAAGTCCGCTTGCTGATTGGGGTCTTGTTCCGAAAGCCAAGACCCTAAACCCTCGGTTTAAGGGTTTAGGGTTTAAGGGATCAAGGGTTTAGGGTGGCGCCATGTGGCGCGCTCAATATCGCTGATTTGTTTAACGTGGTGACACTGTCGTTCATTGGGTTTGGGGTTCAAGCTTTGTTCTGAAACTCTTTTGGCACAGTGCCCCCGGTTTGGGGTTCGTGATTTTTGTCTTTCGCTAAGGGTCCATGTGCCCACAAATTTTGTGCTCATAGGCTTTCGAGGGATTGCTACATACTTGGTTGCCAACTCGGCAGTCTAGGGGCAAACTAGATACTATAATTTCAAACCTAAATCCTAAACCCTAAACCTAAACCCTGAATACTACATCCTAAACCTGTAAATCCTTGCTCTGTGACATGCATTCATGGGCCTTGTTTAAGGGTTTCTGTTGATTCAGGAGTCTTGCTCCTCCATGGAGCGGCAGGAACGGGTCTAAGGCTACCTGCAGATCCAAAAAACCTACTGTGTTATATTGTTTAAGGGTTTATCGAATAATTCGGGGATCACAGCCTTCTAGTTTGTTGGGTTTGGGTATAGTGAGATGCACGCAACGCCCAGCATCAGACCGCAGCAAGTTGCGTGGACAGGGTCGGGCTCAGTGATGCGATGAACATGAGGCTGTAGACTAGAGTTTCAGGCGCAATGTTCCGGGATGCTGAAAACCATAAAGCCTAAACCCTAAACCCTAAACCCTAAACCCTAGGCCTCAGCGTGCTATCGGACCTCAGCACTTCAAGAGCTGTGCGCAGGCTGCTGTGAATCTGCTGGACGACATGTTGGACCAGGATTACCCAACCCTAAGGGTCCATGTGCCCAAATAGTATATACTTTGGCCTTAAAGTAGTCCCTATGTAGGTACTTTGGGGCTAAAGTATATACTAGTTGGGCACATGGACCCTTAGGGCAAAACCATGTCATCAAAGACGAAGCTCTCAGTAAAGTAGGACCCTGGTGACTACAAAGACTCTCCAATGTGAGACCATTAACTCATGGGAATCCTTTATATATCTGCGGAGGAACGCTGAACCTAGAGGTGCTGGGTCAATTTGCTGCGCAGCTAGGGTCTATGGCTTAAGTTGTTGTGCTTAGGACTGCGATCTCAGAAAGCGCCTGAGTCTCACGCTGAAGCCACAGCTAAACCTTGAACCCTCAAGGGTTTAGGGTTTCCCTGAGCCCGAAACCCTAAGGTTCTCAAGACCAAGCCCTAAACTCAAGGCCAATCTGCCGTTCTGGACCCTAAACCCTAAACCCTAAAACCTAATCACGCAAGTCGACCAATTCCAGCCTCAAGCCGAAGCTTTGCCCTCGACAGCCCCAAACCCACCCTGAAGCCAAGCCACACAGGGAACCTTAAAGGTTTAGGGTTTAGGGTTTAGGGTAAGTCCTAGACCAGGTGCCCATGAAAGCCGCCCAAAGGGTTCAAAATTAAGGAAGTTTGGGATTAGGGTTTAGGGGTGTAGGGTTTTGCTCACTAGCCTGGCCCCTAAAGCCTAAACCCACCTGCTCCCCGAGCCTCCGAAGCCATTTAAGTCGAGACTATACCCGGAACAAAAGCCAAGGGGCCCTCTCTACCAGCTACTTAGGGTAAGTATATACCCATAGGCCCCATAATAGTTCCTTTTCGGGGTTCATATTTAGAATCCTATAAGGTAATCGCAAAAACTACTATGGGGCCTATGGGTAGTGAAGCATCGTCCTTACCTTTGAGGTTTGGAGAGTCTCTAGGATCGCAAAGCCTAAACCGCAGACGATGAAGTCCCCTGAAGGCCCATGTGCCCAAATATTCAAAATAACATATACTCCGGCCTTAGTGTAGTCCCTATATAAGTACTTTAGAGCCAATGTATATACTATTTGGGTACATGGACCCTGAGAGATTAGCAGGAGCTGGAGCCCGATCTTTTCACCTACAGCAGCGTGCTCGATGCACTGGCGGCGGATGCGAGGCCGGGGAACCAGTTGAGGTTTATTAGGGTTTAGGGTTTAGGGTCTAGGGTTCGTAGTCTCCGAAGATGTCCTAGCCCGAAACTACAAGAACATGTTCACGGGATGGTGTCACGTAAAATGAGGCACAGTGTTCGCAAGGGCAATGTTGGATGGTATAAGTATAAGTTTCAAAGGATTCCGCTCGGAAATGCAGGATGCTTCCAGAAGGCATGAACACCTGATCGAAATCAGAGCGAGACCAGACCTTAAGCCCTGTTTAAGACTAAACTTGAAACCAAGACAAGACGCTCAATCTCAACGGCAAGAACCTAAACCGTGAGAGTCTCAACCCCTCAGAAGCCACGAAGGCCAGAAACCCAGCGCCCTAAACTACCCTAAACCCTAAAATATCAGTGGTCCTCTCAGAGAAAAGCTTTTTGATATTGAACGGAAAGCCAAGATTATGTGATGTTAAGCTCTTCTTGACTGTGTTTGGGTTTTAGGTTCTTGTCGACATCTATGTTATGTCTGGTGTGGGGTTTCTGTAGAATCATATCAACGTCATGTGAGGCTATTGTAGTATGGGCTGGTGTCAGGGTTTGTTTATTGCATGGTTACCTTTCAACAAAAACCCACGCAAACCCACACTCTAACCTAAGCCCAAAATCCTAAGCCCAAGACCGTAAATCCTCAACCTAAACCCCAAACCCTAAACCTTAAACCCTAAGCCCTTAACTTAACCCACAATGCCTTATAAGGTTTGCTACATCCTCGGGCCCCAACTCAGAATGCCTGATTCCTAGAGCTTCAGAGTCTGCGGTTTAGGTTCACAGCCCTGGACCCTAAGCCCCTAAATCCCTAATCCCCCAAACCCCTAAACCCCTAAACCCTAAACCCTTAACCCAAAACCCCTGAACCCCTGAACCCCTAAACCCAAACCCCTAAACCCTAAACCCTTTCGGCACTCGGCTGGATGCGGAAGCACTCCTTGTCCCAGGTAGAAACTAACAAGGGCACCGGCAGGAATGGCCAGAAGCCCACCTGGCAGTGAGCCACCTTCCACGTGGAAGGGATCTCCGGGAACTTCACACGATTTGCGCAAAGCAGCCGGAGGGCGCATGTGCAGCTGACTTCATTGGTGGTACCTGAACAGCGGAAAGCCAGGCTTTGCAGGGTACTACAGGGGCAGACCGCATCGCGCAGTATACCTCCTTGACACAACCTGTGCAGCAGAAGAGACGAACCGCTGGAGGTTCGAAAAAGTTGGCATCAAAACAGTACTGGCCAGCGGAGGTGCGCACTGCAACGCCGAGTAGGTAGCCTGGTCAAGCACACGACAAGGAAGGAACTCCTCGTCTTCCTGTTTAGTTTCAAGAGAGGCCGTCTTGGGGAGCAAGGCCATACCCATAGGCCCTAAAGTAGTGCCTTTTGGGGTTCATATATAGAATCCTATAAGGTAACCCCCAAAAGGAACTACTATGGGGCCTATAGGTAGAAATTAAGCCAGACAGTGCCAACGAAGAGAGACGCCCAACCACAGCGTAGCTAGCGAACAAGATCCTGCCACGTCTGCTGTACGTGCCGACCAGCCGTCCACAAGCGCCAGGCTTCAGTTGGAACTGAAACAGAAGAAGAGCCGCAATAGGACATCCAGGAAGCCGCAGTCTGCAAGTGTCCAAAATTCTCTCTCCCGGCAAGCACTGACCAGGGATACAGCAGAGCAAAGTGGGCTGCAAGTCATCCCAGATGCAAAAAAGATCCCTGTAGCCAGAACCGAACAGCGCCATGCCGATGGGCCAGATGCCATCTGGGAGTTTCCGGAAATTAGGGGTACCTTATTTTGGGGTCCTTATAATAAGGATCCTAGTATTTAGGGTGCTATATCAGGTTCCCCTATTTTCGGAAACCCCCATCTCGATCAAGGTTTCGACCAGTGCAAAAAGCCTTGTTGCTACCACTGCTCGTCAAGCAGCTGGCCTCCGTCCCCGATAAACGCAGCAAGATGCACATGGCAACAGAAACCCTAAACCCTAAGCTGCTAAACCCTAAACCCTAAACCCTAAACTCTAAACCCCTCAAGCCTAAACTCTAAACCCTAGAGTTTTCTCAAAGGGTCCTTAGACGAACTTATATCTTTCGCATGGGGGCTAAGTCTTTTAAGTTAAGGATTTAGGGTTTCAGGCTTGAGGTTCAGGATTTTTAGGATTTAGGGTTTACGGTTGGCGGTTTCGGGTTTAGGGTTTAGGGTTTGAGGCTTAGGGTTTAGGGTTTATACAACTAAATTCTGAACCAGCACGGAGCTGCCGTAGTTTCGGGATGCGGTGCTTCAGGGCTTTAGGCTTTAAGGCTTAGCGTATTTAGGACACACACACACACACCTCTCTCTCTCGCTCGCTCACTCTCCCTCTTTCTCTCTGCTCTCTCTCTCCCCCTCTATCTCTTTGTGGCAGGTGGGCAGATGCAGTTGACGTGGTTCAGGACCGACCGAACTAAGTTTTGTTGTTTCGTAAGGGTGCGGTTGAGGGTTTCAGCTTGTGGAGCTGAATCCATGTAGTGCCGAAAACGTTTCGGTTTAGCGTTTAGGGTCTAGGGTTTATGCATCTACAGCGTATCTACATACGCCTCGCAAGGGGTTCCCTTTTTAGTGACATGAAAGTCAAACTTCATACCATCGGAGTATATGAATCCTCAGGAGAATAGGTAGTGGGCTTCCGGGATGCGAGGGTCAGGGATTCTTCGGGCGCCTGTCTGAATTCAGAACCTTCGTTTCAAGTTTTATAGCGATTACTCATGGGCCCCACAGTAGTTCCTTTTTGGGGTTCATATAGCCCCCATAGTAGTTCCTTTTGGGGGTTCATATGTAGAATCCTATAAGGTAATCCCAGAAAGGAACTACTATGGGGCCTATGGGTAGTGACAGGTCTCGGGATGAGCCTTCAACCCTAAACTAAACCCCAAAGCCTAGACTCTAAACAACCACAGACCCGAAATCGTAGATCAACCCTAAACCTTAAAACCCTAAATCCTAAACCCCAAACCCTAAACCCCAAACCCGAAACCCTGAACCCTAAACCCTAAACCTAATCCGACCAAGCAAGCAAGCTGAACCCTAAATGGAGTTAAGTCAACAGTTCAACAACTGATGGCCGAATTGTCCCCACCTCGCCAAGGTTCGTAATTAGACTATCGATATTGAGGTTTTCAAATTCAGAGTGTAACGGCAGATAGTGCTGTGGGGGGTGAGGCTGCAGACGTTTGCAGCTCTGTCGTTTCGGTTTTGTCCTACTTGGGACCCACCTATATCCCAGAAAGTCCAACATGCCCAGTACTCAGGTTTTCCGATGTGAGAAGTTGGTACCTGTAGAGGTTTTCGATTTGCATACTTGGATACTTGGAGAGACCCCTTACCAAAAACCCTAGCCCCTAAATCTAACTGAACGTCCAATAACCTGCCGTTCTAAGGACCTATCTAAGTGCAATCAGAATCAGGAACCCTGAACAGCCACGGTTTAGGGTTTAGAGGTTTACGGTTTCCCTAAACCCTAAACCCCGAAACCTCAAACCCCTAAATCCTAAACGCTTAACCCCTAAACCCCTACATCCCTAAAACCCTGAACCCCTAAACCCCTAAACCCTAAACCCCTAAACCCCTAAACCCCTAATCCCTAAACCCCTAAACCCGAACCCCTAAACCCCTAAACCCTACACCGTGGTTAGGTCAGCATCCTCAGGACCTGCGGATCCGGGGCAAATCGCCCAACAATGCGGTGGCCAGCACCTTGCTCCTTGCCTCAAGGGACTAAAGGAGGGACCCTGAAAGGGACCCTTGGGGTTCTCTAGGGGCTTTTTGAGACTATATAGGGGATATATAAGGGTTATATAGGGTATTAGGATTAGGGGTCCCTCCTATTGTCCCTTAACTGCCTTGCAAAGGAGAAACTATGGGGCCGAGTTTGAGTGGGGAGGCGCTGAGGGAGTGATTTTCGGGTTTGTTTAGGGGGTTCAGGGTTTCGGGTTTGGGGTTCAGGGTTTAGGTGTGTCTGTGTCTGTGTCTCTGTGCGTGTCTGTCTGTCCGTCTGTCTGTCTGTCCGTCTGTCTGTCTGTCCGTCTGTCTGTCTGTCTGTCTGTCTGTCTGTCTGGGGGCCTTCGGTTTCCAAACTGCAGTACAAGGGCTCTGTCAGGGATGTCAGGGATATATATATGCGTTAGACCAGCAGGCCAGAAAGGTTATCCTGCAGGTCTGTAGACTAGGGTGTCTCGCTGTATCTTGATGCTTTCGGCTCTGCTTATCCCGCTCCTCGACGCCTAACCCAAAGGATCCATGTACCTTTATAGTAGTTACTTAAGCCTGAAAGGGGTCTCTGGATTATAGGTACTTTAGGGCTTAAGTATCTACTATAAAGGTACGTGGAGCCTTTGGGTAACTGAATCACCCGACTCGCGTGTGACTGTTGGATGGTGATGTGCGGCTTGGGAACCTGCACAGGCCAGGAGTTACTGACATGCACCACAGAAGCTTTGGTAACTGCTTTGGTTCGAACGAACGAGATATGTCATAAATCCTTAACCCTAAACACCTAAAGCCTAAACCTTAATGCCAGAGCGAAATCTGCTGACCAAGCTCCTCCGACCTCTCTGTCTCGTTTGCGTTATTGCGTCTAGGCTTTATAGGTTTAGGCTTGAGGTCTTCAGGGATTTGAGGCTTTAGGGTTTGGGGTTTAGGGTTTCAAGGTTTAGGGTTTAGGCTTTGGGTTTATTGTTTTACCCTAAGGGTCCATGTACCCAAATAGTAGAACATTGGCCCTAAAGTACCTATATAGAGAGTACATTAANNGTACATGGACCCTTAGGGTTAGACAATGAGCAGAGAACTTGGAAGCCCCAAGCAGCCGCAAACCCGCGGAGCCCTCCAGCCTGGAGCAACTTCTCGATTGTTTGGTTCTCTTCTAAGCCCGAGCTGTCATGTAGAGGGAGGGAGGGAGGGAGGGAG